CGGTCAATTCGTGCACAACCAGTCCGCGTCCGATGATGGTACGCTTGCCAGTTAAGCTGATCAAGTGGTCGGTGAAAGTGGTATCAACAATGCCATTCGCATCGGCCTCCACATTGCCCAAATCGCCAACGTGGCGCACTTCATCGTCAGGCGCCCCATGATCCATCTACAGGGGGGAGTGGAGAGAAAATAAGTTAATTATTATGTATAAGGTTTTATAGTTTTTTTTTTTGGAATTTCGCTTCCTTGTTTGATTCGGCTAAATTATTAGAAAAAAAAACAAGAGGTTTAACAATCAAAGCTTTATCACTTAGGGACTATTTTTAAAGAGTAAATTCATGGGACTCGAACCTCTAATATGAACCCATGACACGGTACAAAATACATTTGCAGAACTTCATTATTATTGTTATATTTCGTTTGTTTAAATTTGTTGGTGTTTCATCATCTTCAGTGTAATTTTTCCTGCCACTACAAAACTTAAGGTCCTGCCAGATAAAACTTAATAACTTTGCCAGCAAAGCGCAAGACGCAAAAGGTATGCCACAATGAACGCCAAGGAAACAGTTTCGTACTGATTTTTTACTCGTGAAAATTACTGTAGATTTTATATATTTATATTAGCAGAGAATCAATGTAGAACATTTGAGAAAGCAGACGCATGCGCGAGAAAAGGACCATTGGAAAGCATTCGTGATCAGAAAAATTGATGAGGCAATCAGAAGGGAGTCTATAACTTTTGCATATTTTCCGACAAAACTCATATTCCAATACCTTATCGGGATTAAAATGTCCACCGGTGCTGGTGCAGCCATTTGTTAGGTCGCCCTTTTCGTGCACGTGGAAACCGTGCTTGCCTGGATCCAATCCAGTCAAGTAGACGTGCACATGAACATTCTCCGAGCAGCCATTCTGTATGAAAGTAACATTACCCTTAACGATGGGGCCCTCCATATAGGCAATGGCTTCCATAGTGGCGCTTTTCTGCTATGGACAATTGACAAATAAATGCGTGAATATCAACAATGAATGCAACAAAACTTTATTGAAAGTAGAATACGTACCTCTGCTAGGGCGCTGACCGCACACAATGCCAATGTGGCTATAAAGGCATAATGAGAGTGCATTTTTTTTTTTTGGTGATTTACTGAAAAGATAATAAACATTGGATTATTCAAATGTACAAAAATATACATATACATATATGTATGTATGTATGTACTATAGATATGTATCAAGAAAAGGTTTAATAGATATACTAAACGAGTTGGGGGACTACGATATCCATATCACACCTCACAAAAGAAAAAAAATAGGGCATGCACATGTTTTGCTTTACTGCATTAAAAATAAAATCGCATATACAGTAGTTACAAAAAGTAAAATTTATACCTTTTGTTCCTTAATCTTTATCACGCGTTATCCGAAGTCATATCTGGCAGTTTATGAATCGTTTAGCGACATAAGCGAATGCCATCAACATTACTCAAAACTGCTGTGTGTTATAAAGATATACACTAGGCAGGTCCAAAAAAAAAGTAAAATGGTAAAAAAATATACCCTTTATTTTTTATTTTGAAATTAAAAAATATTTAGAGTGCGCTCAAAGTTTTTCATGTATTTTATGTGGGAAAGAACAACTTTGCGTAGAAAGGGTAGAGAATTCTTGAAAATCAATATTTTTGATCGGAAAACTATATTTCTCTTCAAGAGACTTGGAATAATTAAATCCAATCGATTACTTAACCATTTTTTAATACCAAAGATTTTTTATTGGTCTCCCCATTGCATTATCTGGGGTTATTTGAGGACCTATAAAATATAGTTACTATAAAAAATGGTTAAATAAACAATTGGCCAATATTACTGGGAGTCTCCTGAAGAGAAACAGAGCGACCTCTAAATATCTTTTTATTTCAATATATAAAAATAGGGGTATATATTTTTCGGTATGGAACAATCCCAGGGAGGTGGGAGCATTAAAATTCCGTCTTTACATTTTTGGACCACTCTAATATACACACATATGTGCATATATGTACATTAGACTGGTCCGCGAATAAACATTTGTAATCACTCGACCTACTTTGAAAGCATAAAACAAAAATAAATATTTGGCAGAGCTCCTCCTCCCATTTGTGGTGTGCGGTTTGATGTTGTCACACAAAAGAGAGTGGAAATGGTTCTGATCAGAACCTCTTTTCATGGCAGAAATACACTCGCAAGTTTTTTTATATTGCTCGGCCCAGGGTTCGAGCAAACCGAGTGGTTGTGCGAACATCTTACCACGCCACCGCGAGATAATTGTAGAAAATTTGGCGTCTTAAAAATTTTCGTCGTTGTCGAGTCCTAAAACAGCCAAATTACAGCTTTTTCATAACTTTTTGTCATTGAAAAGCCGATAAATAATCTGCTGGCCAAAATTACCCATTTTGGCGAGTATAAGAAATTAACTTACTTTCCAGCCGACTGAATTAAAATTAAGTTACCGTAAATTCAAAAACTTTTGTTTCTTATGAAGTTTTACACTATGTTAAAAGATCTAAAACCCCAAACAATACTTTTAAACGATCTATCACACTTGACAATTTTGTCATAAATAAAAACTCATGAAAATATCTTTCTTTGTGTTTAGGACATGACAGAAAGATAAATTTTAACGACGCCCGCATTCTATCGGAGTAAGTTTTCCTGCTACAGAAGGAATTTCTTACTTTTCCCTTTCATATGGGAACCGACCCAGTCTAATATACATATATACACACACACATGCATATCTTTCATGTGTAATAAAATCGGGAAGCAGTTACAAAATGTCATTTATTGCTGTAAAAATTAACTAGATTCGCAAACAGACA